AAAGATTCTTCATATTCTTCAAATTTTACAAGCATGTATTACGTTTCAGTATGTTTCATTGCCAGAGGCTCATTTTTTTTTTATTTAGAGCCCACTACTCTAAAGCAGCTTCTAAAACATTTTCCCGATAATAAGTTGCATTAACTTTGACACCAGATTCAATAAAAACGATTGGAAATTCTCCACGTTAGTGCAGGCATAACAACTCCTTTGCTCTTTCAAGCCGAACTTTTTTTGTTTTGGTATAATATTATGTGCTTTTTGGAACTTGTAAGGCTTGACCTTGAGCTCCTTTTTCAATATTCGTTGCATGCTTCCCTGATTACCACTACAACGTGGATTTCGCTCAAGTCGAGTCTTCATTTTCCGAACCATTTCAGGTGATGTTGCTGTTTTTTTCGTCCACCACCATAGCGTTTGGCAATGCTACCAGTATCATTATAACGAAATATGGTGCGATACACAAACATTTTATTCACTTTGATGTGTTTGAGCTGACGAACATTAGCTGGTTGTGATTTTTCTGACAAATATAACGCAATCACACTATTACGTTTAAATTCCATTGCGAATAACTTTTGTTGTATGTATAAAACTGAAATGCAAATGCTTTTGAGGGCTTATAAACAATATACTGAAGTGTTATCAGGCCAACTTTGACGTAGCTGTCATTATAGATTTGCCGGATATATCGATGTGAAGTTGGTAACAGTTTAATTGCGTAACCTTGCATATTTGTAGTTAGTTTTTACACGAAAAAACGAATTTTCACTAAATAAGTTAAACCTAACTTACTGCATGATAAAACAGAACCAAACGCATAAAATACGGGTACCTATATATTTTTTATGCCTTCATTCACACGTTAATTATTGTTTTGCGTGATATTACCGATAGGTATAGTCGTCATAGTATTTAATACTCCTCAACCGTGATGATTTTATAGCTCATAAACATATTGCTTATGACTTAATACGGTAGATTACTATATTATATAGTAGCCAGTGAGTTTTATTACTTTAATTGCATTACTATGAAGAGAAATATGAAAAATTAAGAAGTAAATATCAATAACAAAGAGTTTTTCATAGGAATTGATTTTATAAGTAAATGAAATTATTCTAAAGAAAGTCTAATATATTACTTTGTTAGGATAGAACTAGATAAATATTCCAAATAATGAATAAAACTTGGGGTAATGATACATTGTTTTTCGGGTTTACGCCGTGCTCTGGAATTATTTAGACACTATATCGGTTGGCGAAAGAACGCATTGCTTTTAAAAATGGTTGCCATAGCTGCACACGAAACGTCAATGACACATAATTTCACACCACGATCTACAAATTCGAAAAACAATGTATCATCACAAAACACAGTCCTTGATAAAACTTATTGTAGTATCCAATGTACCGTTATCCGTTGTACGCAACGGTTGTACCACAATTACATATTTGTAAAGTAATCGTAATATGAATCGATATTTAAATAACAAACAATGTCACCGTTGAACATTTTCTCACAAAGAAAGTTACTACATGTTCCTAATAATATCAGAGGACTTGTATACGAGGGTGGATTGATATAAAACTAGCCATTGATAGAAAAAACAAGTTTTTTGGAATTAAATCGATTTATTTCTCAACATAGTCCCCTTTTAGTTCGATACACTTATTAAGACGATGTTCCAATTTTTTTTATCCCATCCGAATATTACTTTTGCTCGAGCTCTTCAAAATAGGCCCAAGTTTCAGCGACGACTTCATCATTTGTTGCGAAACGGCATCCTTCGAGCCATTTTTTAGGTTTGGAAATAGGAAAAAATCGCTGGCGGCAAGATCTGGGGAATACGGTGGGTGTTCAACCAATTCATAGCCCAATTCGTGTAATTTTGCGATGGCGACAGCCGATCGGTGAGCCGGTGCATTGTCTTGGTGAAAGAGCACTTTTTTGCGTTCCAAACCGGGGAATTTCCGACTCAATTCGGCATCGAATCGATCCAATAATGCTGCGTAGTACTCAGCATTTATTGTTTTTACTTTATCCAAGTAGTTAATGTGGATGATGAGCTTCGCATCCCAGAAAATAGTCGAAAATAATCACTTTGCCGGCCTAATGTGCACTCTTCTTCGACAACCCTTCGCCGCGTTTGTGCCACTGTTCCGTCTGTTCTTTGGTTTTCGGTGTATAATAATGCACCCAGGTTTTTGGTGCACACGCAAGTGGTCACACGTTTTTGCATTTGTATGTGGGGAATGGGGCAAATGATGAGGAATGATGTGCACGCATTCGTAGGAAATGTTTAGGACCTCTATTTCTGCCATATCTGCCATAATCATGTCATGGACTTTGTTGATCATTTCCGGCGTAGTGACTTCATTTGGCCTCTCGGGACGCTCATCATCAAAAACACTCGTACGACCACGAAGAAATTCAGCGTTGCAAAATTTTACTGTTGCTAACGAAGGTGCAACCTCACCATAAACTTAGTCCAGGTCGGCTTTGATTTGCACATTCGTTTTACCCTTTTTGTGGAGGAACTTAATCACCGAACGATACTCGACTTTTTCCATTTCTCTGAAAACACAAAATTTGCTTGCTTTTGACGGCTGTAAAAACCAAACTAATTGTTTTTAAAACTTAAAATTTTGACAGACGTCATGTCATGAATGGCAAATGTTAACACTGAAACCAATTCAGTATCAAGTAGCGCCATCTATCAAAGGCTAGTTTAATATCAATCTATCCTCGTACTATATATGTGACATTTATCAACTATTGACATATGTGACAATTTATTTATAACTGAGTCCTCTAACTCTAACTAGAGTTTACTTGAATGAGATCATTGTTCAATCTAGTTATATTTAATTTTATTATTTTATATTTATCACTTTTAGATAAACTTACAGATCAGAAATCATAAGAACACACAATTAAATTAATTGAGACCTTTCGTATCCATTGATTACCAAATAAAAATACATGTTTAATATGCCTAATCTATAGGCGTATGTAGCCAGTTTAGCAATCCTAATAATAACCTATGTATGTTGTAGCAAATTATTAAAATACTCATAAAAATATCGTAATACTTTGAAATATTTCTAAATTGTGAACACATTAAATAGACTGAATACTTCTTTGAATTTAATATCCTAACTGAATGTATTGTTGCTGGTAGTGAGCAGCAAGCAGGTATTCTCGGTAGTCAGGTTGATTAATTAGAAATACCATAAATATAATGCCATAGTGTTACTATCCATCACTACCCACGCCAGCCACATACTCAACTAATGTAACTAATGTTTATGTACTTTTCTATTATGATCCTATTATTTATTGATATTACGACTTTTGACTAATTTGTTATGTGATAAATGCGTGTTGTATCTTTAGAGTCGAGTGTTTTTTAAGTTCGATTCTAGACATCACCACATACTATTCAGTATTGTTATATAAATAAAGATTTGTATATTTTTGTAAAATAAATGTATTGCACTAAAAATTTTCGTTTTATTCAAATTTGTAGTGTTTTGAAAAAATACAACAAGACACATTTAACAGCGAAGCAGTAAAAAGCCAAAGAACATGCTACATCAGGACGCATAGCATCTCACAATTGGACGGCGTTATGCAGAAAGCTATCCTATCAACCCTCAATAGTGACAAACTGAGATAATCAAGTTTAAAGTTTTTGTTGATTTAAGAATCTTGTAAATGTTGTTTAATTGTAAATTAAAACGAGAAATGGGAAATTTTTGCGGATTGGTAGGTTTTTGAATTTTGCAAAGTGGGACATTAATACCAACAATATTAAATAAAAACAAAAGTAAAGTTACAAAAATTATTTTTATTTACCGAAAAGTTAAGGATGATTATTCAACGTATTAATTTAATAAATTTTACTTTTAATCAACGTCATCCACTTCAAAATCTAAATCTTTAATATTGACATTGTAACCCTCAACATCTTCAGTTATATTGGCACCCTTCAAATTTTGATAAAAATGCAGTGTATCAGCAGGATTAAGGTGGATCATTTCCTTTAAATTTTGTAATTTCGCCTCAGCCATAGGCTTTCTGTTGGGCCACAGTGGTATTAAATCGCTAAAGATTTCTTCGTTACCAGTTCTACCTCGAGAAGATTTTTTAATAGAAATTTTTTGATAAGGTAGTAAAAAATCGTGTTACTTGGCCGAAATGGGTCTTGTTTTTCTATTTTGATTGACCTAATCTTTAACCAATTAATTTTTTCTTTATCTTCTATCACTTTGCGATTAGTAATTGTTTTAAATGTTTATTACGCCTAAAAAATCTTCGACGTGCATTTGGGTAGCAAACAATGGTCTCTGCTTTCTGCAAGAACGCATTAACTCGATGTAGTCATTTGGGGTGTACAATAATCTTTGGTGTCGTTTAAGAGCCGACTGAATATCACTAAAATCAGTGTCGTTGGGGAGAAAACTATGCTTTCTAAGTTTGTGCGTGTCCCATGCAAAATTTATTTAAGCATCAGTATTAACTTAATATTTCGATTTTGGCAGCCGCAAGAGTTACACTAAAAGGTAAGATGTTTGACTTCTGGAGTTAATTTACTTGTTACCTGTTTTATAAGGCAAGAGCCTATTTCTTGGACGCTCCTTCTAACTGAACCTTCTACCCATTACCCAAGCGTAGCAATATTTTATATCTTCTTTAGCAATGTGTATTCCTGCATTATACACATACAACTGATGCTTATAAAATACTATGTCTGTAGATATTCTGCGAAGTGTTAGGATTTTTTTTAGTCTTATCAAACACTCTTGACCTATTTGTTCAGCCGCTATGTTGAAATCATCTCTTCTCATTCTGTGTGCCTCCTCTGCAACTAGCAAATGCTTGTTATGTTCCTGCTTGAACTCTTCTTTTTTTCTACATCCTGTTCATTATCTATTTTCATTTTAATAGTATCACAAACATCGCAGGTTCCTTTTTTGAATGGCTTTATTTTCGTGTTAAATGAAAGTTAAATTGGCTTCTGCCTGCTTGTACATGTCATACATTTGTTGTAAAGTGGTACCAGGTGGTAAATATTTCGCCTCCGTTTGTTCCCGACGGTGTGAAATGTATTTAGGTATTTTATTAATTTGACTAACAACTGCTTGAATTCTTTCATCTGATGATCTGTTTTTGCTTCCCTGCTTTAAACCTCTTTGATCACGAATAGGAGCCCGACCATGAACTGTCCTTAAAGCAGTGTTTACTCGAAATAGTTACCTTCAGAGTATTTATAAACATTTCTTTACACACTTTTGTGTCCTTTGTTTTATAAATTCGAGAGTATTTCCTTTTTACGATATTTCTACCATGTATTTTTTTAAATCTCGAATACACTAGCAGCACTAAAATTAGTTATAACCCCATATGGATTTAGCGACCAAAACCTCTCAAATTCAGATTTTTGACTTTCAATCTCCTTGGGTTGGACTTGTCCTTGCCTGAATTTTCCTGCATTGCAAGAGCAGCCTTTAAAATTCTAACAATTTGATTGCTGTACATTATGCTAAATAAAAAGTGTACTTTCAACCACTTTTTCACTGTATTCAAAGTTCTTTTTAAACTATCTAGGCCACTACTACTAAAACTAAACATATTAAACACACCGGTGGTTAAACTTACTAAATAAAAACAAAACAACACATAAAATTATTAGTTTAGGTTTTTATAACTGTAGAGCCCAATATTTGCAAAAAGCTACCAACCCTCTTGGATACAAGTGGCGCTTTATTAAACCACTACCAAGTGGGTTAGAAGGTTTCTGTAAATTAAAAGTATCATACCAAGTAGGCTTCTGCAAATTAGATTATCAGATAAATTTAATATGTGGCTTAGCATTTTTACAGTTTTATAGGTTATATATTATTCTAGAAGTGGTAGGTTTTGCACCCTGTAGAATTGTAAAGATTTGATATCAAAAAATATATTTGTTATCAAAAGATTTTTAATATATTGTCTAAAATAATTCCTCTAGCGAAATATTTACTTTTTGTATACATGCTTGGTCTAAACTTGGAATGAGTATTTTCTGAGTTTTTTTAAATAGAACACCCTGTATTTTAGTATTGTAACGAAATATTATTTTATGAGAGTTTATTATTTATTTATTATTCCCTATACCTGCCTGCTTTAATTTGTGATTTATTCGTGATTTTTTGAGCCAAACATTAATTGCAACCAAAATTAGATGACATTTTATTAGATTGGCCGTGAAAATACTAATACTAATATGAATAAGATATTAAAATAACTAAGTAGTTAAAAGTGAAGTGACGTTTAATATAGAAATAAAATTAAATGTAAAACAAAATATTTACTTAATAAAAATAACAAAAATCATTGAATTTATAATAAATGTTAAAAATTGCCTTCGTCAACGTCATATTATAATTAATTGCAAGCAATCTTCAAAAGAGCGACTTACACTAGTTAATATATTTCTATTTAACTAATATTTAAATGGGAATAAGCCACAATTAAAGGTTAAAGTTAGTTTATTGACGTTTCAATTCCCACTTCGGAAATCGTTCTCAAAATACAAACATTAGTAAATTGGACAAATTTTGTTTTTTTGTTACTTGGTGAAAAATTCTTCTAATAATTTAATTTTATATGACTCATGTATATTGACAATTCAGACATACATTATACATTTTAAAGTAAACGACTTTAAAATGATATTGCCAATATTGTTGAGTTGCGTTTCTGGGACGACTTTACTTGTCACATAGTTCATTCGATTACATGAAATCAACTGTAACTTGAGAATATCCGTCAGAAAAAATCATAGCATGTAATTCGCCTTTAAAAAGACACATGACACGATGACAGTAAAACTCTATTAGTGATTCCATAGTAAATTATGAGGGAAAAACCAGAAAAAAAACAGGAAAAAAAAATTGTACTCTTTTAGTAGGTCTAGTTATCCTCATTAGGCTCTTGATACAACCGTTCATGATACGAATGCATTTTGTTCTTTTATAAAATATTTTCTATATTACGGTCACTAATTATTTCAAAAGAATGGCCAATTTTTCTTGTACTAATATGTTAGATTTGCATTTCTTCATTTACAGTAGTTTTTATTCGATCAGATTCTTCGTAATTTACGTGTCCAATCCGTTAAAACTAGTAAAATCATGAATTGGTTGTACATGTGAATCTATTTCAAATAGGTGGGTAGAAATACATAATAGACTTACTCATAATGTTTTTTATTAACTAAAGACTACCGGTTTCGACCACTACAATTTACTGGACATCTTCTGGTCTTCCGGGCAAATTAACTTAAAATGCTGAAATAAATTCATATCATAACTAAAATATTTCTCTCAGGTTTATGACAAAAAGTGCCAATATTACTCATGTATGAGTATAACATTATAGTATATTTGAAGAATAACCTGGAGTAAATTCTCAGAATACTAATCTTCGCACCTCGAAATACATAGGCGTGCACATCTTCTAACTAAAACGTAATTTTAAAAGAAAAGTTTGCGTTAAATTTATTTGAATATTTAGAACAAAGTAATTAATCCAATCTAATATTGGTTTAAAATAAAAAGATACACATAAAAAAATAAAAATTTTATTATTTGTGAAACATACAGTTAATATAAAATAATAAAATACAATAAATTATACTGAAACGTAAAATACATACACAAAAACTGTAAGTTTTATATATTCCTATTAATAAATAATAATATTCTTAATACTAATAATATTGAAAATAAGAGTGAAAATTATATTAGCAATAAAAAATAAACAATGAAGTCGGCAATTAGTTCAAATGTAAAATAAACTTCTGAGCTACAGTTTAAAGTTAAGCTTCCTCATATTCTGTTTCAGACGAAGTGTTATCCGATCCGGGATGAATTATTATAGGTTCTATATTGCATATTGCTATCTATTATATGATCAAGCTCCCACATATTTTTATCAATATCCATAACGTGATTAAAACATTTTTGCCAATGTTCAGTCGTTACTTCGGATATTGATTTATGAAAAAGAATAGTAACATCTGACAATTTAAAACTTGTATTATTTCGAGCAACGTTAATTTTAACTACGGCCCATACTAATTCAATCGGATTTAGCTCGCAATGATACGGTGGTACGCGAAGTATTTCAATTCCTCGTTTTTTGGCTACTTCCTCAATGACATATTTTTTATAATTTTGTTTATTAATTTTAGCAAGCTTCAATAATTCTGCTTGTGTCATTGTGTCGTCAAAGATTAAATTCTTAGAAGTTAACCACATTGCAATTTCATCTTTCCTCCATTGAGTAGTTGGTAAACGTTCAACTAATCTAGAGTGGTAACTTGCATTGTCCATCACAATAATTGAATTTTTAGGTATGAATTCAATCATCTGTTCGAAATATTCTTCAAACACGTCTCCGTTCATCTCTTCGTGATAATTACAGGTCTTTTTTGATTCAAACAAAAGTAAACCCTCCTCAAGAAATCCATTCATACTACCTATATGAGTAACAATTAATCGTCTACCTTTACCTGTCGGTTCCTTGAAACCAGGTGAATATTCTTACAGAAATGCTTGTCGACATGTTTTTATAGTTTTGTCTTTCCAAACTCTCTCTACAGTATACCCTTCATTAACCCACGTTTCATCTAAATAATAAATGTTCCTATTTTCTCTTCTCATTTTTTTTTTATTTTACTGAGGTAGTCTTGTCTCTAACACACAATTTCTTCGGAATCGATAAGCATTGACTGTCTGCCCACTTTTTCACACTTAAAGTTTAACTCATGCAAAACTTTCCAAAGTTTGTCTCTACTTATTGTGGGTAAATCGTGATCGTCGGTAATGGCTTGTAAAACTTTATCTAAAGTTGGTATTTGTTTGTTAAAAAAAATGAGTGGACCATTCTACGAATTTTTGAAAAATTCATCCACATTCACTTTCGACAATTTTGGTCTTCCTGGTCTCGGTTTGGGTGGCGTTATACCAGCTGATTTTTCCTCTTTTAAAATGTTATATACAGTTGATTTTGAATATCCCATTACTTTAGACGAAATTTCAACTATACTATCAAGAGTATTGGAAGGATTATGTTGCTTAAAATAATTGTAGACGTTAAGGATAACACATCTTTTCGTTAAGTGATAAATGATTTAACCTTAATTTTTTAACTGGTGTATAATCACATGTTAATTCCATATTCTATAAACTCACTATTCACTCTTGCAAAAAACAACTGTCAGATCTCATCACTCCGCTTATAATCGACTAAACAAAAATTTTCTGATATTAATGAATGACTATTTAAAGACCATAAGCCATTTTATTAATCATTGGTTTTCCAAACAAAATCGAAATTTATACTATTTAAGATAGCGTTCACATTTATCAGAAACCATCTTTCGCTAATCGACTTTTTCTATCTAAACTATCAAAAGACCATTAACTAAATACCTATGTATTTTAAGAGTTTCTTTATTTCTTGTTATTTAATGAGCATTATCATAACGACAAAAATAACCATAAATAACGTTACTAAAATAAACAGATTTATGTAAATACAATATGCTTTGAAAATGGTTTAAATATCTAAAAAACCGAAACAAATAATGTAATACCCTTAAAGTACGTCTATGACCAGCAGAAAAAACCCTAGCCTATACAGTTCTAACAATAGCAGGTATTTAAATTTTACGATAGTCCATGTGACATGGAAAAATTTCTATCTAAATAGTCAAACCAAACGTAAAATAAGCTAAAATATTGACGTTATACGAAAAGCACACGTACTAAAATATGCTTAACAATTTAGTTTTTTTTTCTGAGAATCTACTCCAGCTTATTCTTCAAATATACTATAGTAATATTGGCTGACCTCAACGAACTACACACATCAAAAATGTCTAAGGATCAACACTATTATTCCACTTTTTTCAATAAAAACAAAACACTTTTTTGTTAATGAACACACCATTCGATTTGAAAACTTGTTCTCTACAAATCAAGATATACCATGAAAATTAATCTGTCAAGCTTTATTAAGGCAAAAGTGCTTTAAATTTTAAAGATAGTATGTATTTACGTTACAATTTTATTAAAACTAGTTTATTAAAGGCAACTATATTCATGGAGCACCGGTATTTAACACATGTTCAAATGGTAAGTGCTGTAAATGTGACTAAGGTTGGTCTTTCACAAGCT